TTGTGCAGCATCTTGTAACTTTAAATTCATCATAAAACAGTTCGAAAGGAGGGCTCACTCGTGAAATGTTTTTCAGTACTTGAAGAGAAATTTCGTGTCTCTGCGTGGGCACGTAATATCCTCTATTTATTCCTCGAGTAAATTAAAGACTAAACTCGAAGTGATCTCAAGATATCACGAAGTAGTCCGGTCTCATTTCGTGAAATAGCCGAAACAAGCAGGAAAGTCACGAACTTGCACGCCCAATCTTGTCCCGAAACTAGTGCATCATTTCATAACTATTTTTCATTTCCCGAACTACCTTGGGTCGCAGTAGCGCAATCGGCTAATCCCTCAACCTGATCTGACGGGTCACACAGGTGAGTCGGTTCAAACCCCGGGGAAGCCAAAATAATAATTCTTTCTTCCTCGAAAAAGTTAAAGAATAAATCAAAGAATCAAAGTGATCTTGAGATATCTCGAACTAATTCGGCCCTCACTTCGTCAAATAGCCGAATAAAACCGAAAACCTACACACTTTGCATGCCCAATCTTGTCAAAAAAGTCAACTTTGATACATTCCTGAGCGTCGCGAATCCTTTACTTCGCGCTCCGCCAAAGTAAAAATAATAGCGGGGCTTTCTCGAGGGAGAACCATGGGTAAGAAACTTTTGTGATCTATGCATCCAAGAAATTTTGGTAGTCATATATGTGACCGCCCGTCCATTCGCGCCAATGATAACCAATGTGAAATGACATTTTTCAGCTTGTCCGGGAGCCTGCAACCTACGTTTAACTTGATGATAGACGTCCATGTTATGGTTAATTGACAGCTGTCAGAAAAGAGTATTTGCTGACCTGTAGCACATGACCGTGCCGCAGGCTCAAGTTTCAACTTTTTGAAGTCATTTATACCCTGCGAAAACATCCTTTTCTCCTCGCTCTTCGCCATACTGATGACATCATCAGTATGGAATTTCTGTCGCTTAGTCGCAAACATTCCTCCGCGCGAAACGTCCCCAGCGGCGAAGAGCGAGGAGAAACGGATGTTTTCGCAGGCTAGGTCATTTACTTTTTTACGGTTTTCCGCTGACCAGTTACTAGCCTTTAATTGATCACAGACTCAAGTTAAACTTTTTTCAGCCGCAATATAATTTCTTCTCTATTGTGAAACACAAATTCCCTCAAAAGATTATTTCATGAAAGTCCCAGTAATTACTAGCCTCCCCGCAGACGTCCTTTGGGGTTCGTTTGTCATGCGTGACAAACGAACCCTAAAGGACGTCTGCAGGGAGGCTAAGTAATTCCTGGAGCCGGAAAGCTGTTTATTTTTTAATTTTTTAAAACATCCAAGATCGAGTTTTAATCACACTCAAAATCACAACTGGACTATGGTATCATTGGTAAAACGTAGTCATCTCGCCCAAAAAATAACGTATACTTCATAATTTCCTAATTTTTGCGCAATGGTAGTTCGATTTTATCCATTATCTCACTTAATTATAATTAGATTCTTATATCACTTGTATTTAACTGATAATAGTAGTTTTCCGGGTTGATGAATGTAGATATAATCAAGCTTAGAATTTTGAGTCCATGGGCTTCCCTGTTACTTTAATCAAAAGTAACTTCCTCTTCGAAGCTAGTTGAAGAATCTTTAGTTACTAATCATGTGAGAGAAGAATACGTTACAAAATCTAAAAATTAAAGTGAGAAAAAAAAAAGTAGTTCTCTGCTTGCAGAGCCTACTTTTTTAGCTACTCTTGGCACGCGTGCTAAAAGTTCTACCTCTACTTTTAGGCTTGTCAAGACAGAAACTTAGACTCTTGCTAGCAGGGAAACATACCTGCCTCGTTTCCATATTTTTAAGAGTTATAAGCTTAGAATTTTTGGCCTACCTGTGAATACGTACAGCCGGCGAAACGTGCCAAGTGGCGTGAAGCAGAGAGAGACGGCTGTGTTAGAAGGCTAATTTGGGACTGCAATTACAATGGGCTTTGCCACAGGTATCCCAATAACGAAACAACAATATGTAGAGTCAGAAAAACTGGTATTAATGGAGGACTCAAAGCACTGAGATAAATTTCTGCCAGCTGTAAATAATCGCGTTCAGAGAATCATTTACCAAGTTTTGTGGTAGAGGCTGATATTTTATCGCTCTTTGAATGTGTAAATTATTACTCTTCATTAATTATTTCGAATAGTAAGACTAAGAAGTGTGCTTGCACTGTTTCAAATGGTTAACTTCAGAGAAACAGTTAACGCTACTGTACTCAGACCCGACCCACAGCCCCCATCCCCAAAATTCCATACCATGGCATCTTATTTGACATTCACAGCCATTAATTTTTCACTTGTTAAAGCTAAGTAAAAGTTTTTTCGGCAATGGAAGCATCTCAACTTTAAAGCTTAGGCCGAAAACCCTGTCAGTATCATGCTCATCCGGACTGAGCACACCCCAAGACAAGATGAGTCCACGTTGAGTACTTTAAGTGTTGTAATAGACTTGTGATTTTATCAGTTTTAATATTGGCTTTAAACCAGTGAACAGTTGTTCTGGGTTCTTAAACGCGTCGCATTATAATAGACCTTGTTAGCTTGTATCTTTTGTTTTCTCTTTTCAGACTACGTGATAGTACCCCTGAGATTACTATTTCTTTCAAATGTTGTCGCATGCATGTGCTAATCTATGCATAAATTATGAAAGGACAAAAGGCAAATTCCCTGGAGAACATCACGTGGTCTGAATTGGGAAAACAAAACGTACAAGCTAGAAAGGTCTTTCTGACGGCAAGCAGTCTCTCTTCAGCTCCGAATTTAGTGGGTGGAGTGCACGCACACGTGCTTTGAGCGGGGCGTCAAAAGAGGGTGCCCTCAGTCACAGCTCAACAGACTAAGAGAAAAGAAAGACTGCTTGTAGTCTACGAGAGAACCTGGAGTCTATCACTCCTGGAGAACATAGTACCTACAAAAGCATGAAAAGATCAGGTTAGAGTGATTTTCGTATGACCTTGAAAAATGGTTTCGGTAAGTGTTAGTTATTTGTTTTATCAGCCAATGGATGAAAAGATCAAAACATGGACTCTTCGTTTTCCTTCGAAAGAAAACCCTAATATGAAGAAGGCATTGTTCGAGTGGCCAATCGTGTTGCAGTATGACGTCAAAGCGAAGTATCGATTGATTTCTAGAAAGTTCTCAGGCATGACGTTTTTTCACCCGAACGTTCGCTTAACCAATCAAAAGCCACACGCGTTTTTATCCCTTCGACAAACCAACCAAATCGCTCTATTTCCGTTCATTTGTTGTTTGTTTTGTTCGCGCGTTTTCATTTCAAGGTCATACAAAAATCGCTCTAATCATAGTTAGTCCCCTCTACTAACTATGCTCTAATTAATGCTTTCTTAGGCTACGTTCTCACGGCAAGAGACAAATTTTCAACTGGTTGCACATGGAACCACCTTAACCTTACAAAAAATTGGGCGCCTACCTGTTCAAAGTTCTTTGTGAACAGAGCAAAAATATTGAATCGTCCCATGTAAACGGAATTTTCAGTCAGTTGAAAATTCGTCCAGTGCCACGTGAACGTAGTCTTAGTTGTTAATTTGTAGTAATATATACTGCACACACAATAAAAAAACAATGTTAAGGTGATCAAAAGTTCTCAGTAGTTTGTTGACGAAAACACGGTGGGGTATCTTCGCTAAAGAGCGAACTGAGAGAAAGAGTAGGTATCAAATCTTAAATTACAACCCATCCACGATAATTGTTTATCCTTTGATGGGGTTATTCGGTGGGTTAAAGAGAATTTTGTGAGCAAACACAAGATTGGATCTCCACCTCCTTTAAGGGTCTTGGTCACAGCGTATAACACTTTCACAGATCCACCTTCGGTGCCAAAAATCTCTTAGCCAATCGGAAACAGCCCGAGAATTCATACTGGTTCAAGTACATTTGTCTTCTGAGTTTTTACACAGGCTCAGGATACGGTTAAGAGCAATTACTTATACTCAACCTGTTGTTTACAGCGAATTTACATCCTAAAGTTGAGGTGCTGTAAAGAACATCCACATTTGCATGTTCACGCCTCCTTAAACATTAATTTTCTTCCGCCCATGATGAGTAAAGCATTCACCCTTAGTCGAACAGAAGTCTTACCGTGCGACTACAATAACTGGGGCCACCCAGACAAAGTTGATCAATCGGATTACAGGAAAATAACAATACATTCTGAGAAAGTTAGTTGTTAGTAATTAGAGCGGTTTTCATTTGAGTGTCGAAAAGTAATTGGTTTTGCACTTTCTACACGATGCGATTGGCTTAAAAGATTCGCGTCACCTTTTCATCCAACCAGAAGTAAAACCAAAGCCGATTGTGACGCGCTCGCACGATTTTCCCGCGCTTTGCGTCAGCCACATGTAATTACTTCGAGTTTTGATTGGTTCAATGTATTGTCTGTGTCCTATGTGATTGGCCAGAGTAATTACTTTGGTTTTGGTTTTACGACACTCAAACGAAAACCACTCTAAAATCGAAATAAACAACATGAATCGAAATCAACCAAGTACAGCCTACAGATGTGACCTTTTGAACCTGCTTTAGAAAGCCTGTGTTCCCTAAGAGGTCTGTTAGAGTGAATGACACAGGCAAAAAACAAATGTTACTTAAATTTTTTACTTGAGGTTGTCATGTTATTGCAAAGCATGGCAATGGTTGCAAAGAAATTGCTGGCAGATCACAAAATATCAGCTTGTGCCAAAAACAAATATGTCTCATGGGTGTATTATGTAAAGATTCGAACAGAAAAACATTGTCTGGTGAAACATTTTGCTTTCTTGAAAAAGGTTTGCTATTAATATTATAATTTTGTGCTTTGAGTAACTTATTGTTTTCTTATGAGCTGCCGACTGGCCCACAACCAACTTTCTTGGAGTGTATTGTTACTTCCCTGTAATCTGATTGGTCAACTTTGTCTGCATGGCCCTGGTTACACAGCATTCCAGTTTATTCTTTCAAGCAAGGGGTCATGTAGACCATCTGAGGGGTCACCACGACCATGTCCTAATTTTTTTGTTGTATTTAACTTAACACTTATGTGTCATCTGTCGGGCCAGGAAGCCTTCTCTGCCGGGTCATTGACCCGAGAGCCGTCTCTCATCTAGAACACTGGTTACAGTAGTCGCCCTGTTCTGTGACATTCAGATTTTTATTTGGCAAGAAACACAAGCTACATTTAAACCAAATTAGCATTTACAATTTTGATTGAACTAAAACAAAGATAACTAGAGTGTTATGGAGTGCATTCAAATTGCCATGCTGTACACCGTCAAGAGATATTTGTCAACTACTTTCCACAGCTATAGATAACTACATGTAACAAAACATTTGAGGAACATTAACAAAGTACTGCAACATAACTGGGCTACAACCTATACTTCCTCTTTCTGAATGTTGTTTGTACTATGTGCTACAATGTACATAAATTACTGACTTTCGAAAAAAAAGGTCCCTGGTATAAAAATGCTGTTTATAAATAAGACATTTTCTGGTATTCTCCTTCCTAATGGTGTTACTTGTCCTTGTTGATTCCATATTTTTCTTTCATTTTCTCCAATTCCTGTCTCTTCTTTTCCTTGTCCAATTTTTGGAAAGCCTGAATAAAAAAGAAATAAATAATAAACATTGGATTTGACTAAAGTACAGTAGAACCTTGATATGAAGAAAGGCCAAGGGACTTGCAAAATAGTTATGTTTGATCAGCTAGAAAATAATATTATTTTGGTTCTATTGTCCTTTCATTTCCAATGAAAGATGCCAGGAGTCATACTGTCTAAGTGACAGCCCTGCCTTAGACAAATAATGTTGTTAGTCTACTTTACCTTGGTAGATTGGTAGTAGAGTACGACAAGGTAGCGATTGCAGACATTGAAGCCTGACAGATGATCACAAGCATTCTTGGCATCAAAGATATCTTCATACACTACAAATGCTGTGCCTCTTGTTTCTGGTGCATTACCACTGTAATTTAAGAGTAGAAATTCAAGTTATAGCTGTACCTCAAAATTAGCAGTTTCAAAATGGTCTTACTAACAGGGCAGCAAGAAAGTGAATATGGATGCCAACCAAGAGTATTTCTAATGGGAGCCTCAGAAAATAAATGTCAAATTTCACAAAATGACATCTTACACATGAAATTTTTAGAATTTTACCTGTGTTTTCACAGTTCTCGTGAAATTTGACATTATTTTTGTCGGGCTCCCATGAGAAATTGTCTTTGGTGTTATTATAGACAACTCATCATATCTATAGTCCTTGAAAAGTCTAAAAAAGAAATATAATATCCCAGTACAAGGTTTTTGCCCACTGAAAATTACAATTACTCAATTTCCTAATGGATTTCATCTTAAATTGTATCAATCCATATCTATCCAAAGCATGACATACGTGTAGCCCTTTTAAAGGAATACCTACTGCAAATAATACATGTACATAAGCTTACATTCTAATTTGTCTGATGCCTCCATATTTGCCAAAAATGTCATACATTTCTTCTGTTGTGATCTTGTAAGGTAGATTTCTGTAGAGAGAAAGAAACGTTAGTTGAATTGTAATTGGTGCACATTACACAAGGGTAAATACAGTATCTGGCATCCTTGCACATTTTGCAGGGACAATTGACATCACCTTCAAAATAACAAAGGAGAGAGAACCTGAGCCTGTTTGTGGCAGTGATATTTCTAAGGTTAAAAGACTGTTAGGTTTACTTAAGATGCTGAGCTTTACATGAACCATACCAAATATCATTAATCCAGTACATCAAAACTTGAGCAGATGATTCTGTTAAACTAGCTACTTTAACCCGCCTTCTTTGGTCTGGCTTCCCTTTCGTTTTTACCACAAAATGCAATATTATTAGGTTCTGTTTTAACTGGGCCAGACAAAAATGAACATGCCACCCTCAAAATACAAAACCATAACAATGCTGGGAAGCCATCTTAAACTTAACATACTTAGTACTAATGACTTTTACATAGTAGCAAGATCTTCCAAATCATACAGGATTCAGCAAATTAGTCGTAATTAAACCATCGAAAAAGTAATAGAACACAGTGCTCACTGGTTTATTTCAGAACATATTACATTACAAATAATCTTTAATGCAAGAAACGAACTGCACATTTGGAATTCTTTTAAAGAATTATTAAAAGCTTGGTGATTTTACACGAAGTACGACGGTGACAACGAAAGCATGAACACGCGATTAGAGAGTGTCAATTGAGTTTTACCAGAAACCCATAAGGGGTTGAAACGTGTAACTCGCGTTCAATGCTCGTGAATATTCGTTTTGACCATATTTGGAAACCTTAGTGACGGATACCCATTTTCAACAAAATGGCTACTGCGTGATCACCATGCAGATGTTTTAAGACAAGAGTTCTGCATTTCAAGGTTAAAAATACACCGTTAAAAGACAAAAAATGGAAAGAGAACGTTCAAAAGGATGCTCAGCTTTCTTTTTGTGGAGAAAGGGAAGCTTTTCATCAAGAAATCGTCCTTCGAGGAATTCAACCTTGTTTTCTTTACGGCGGAGCCCATGGTCTGTTTTGAAATGTAACCAAGTCAGCAAAGTTTTTGCTGAATTTTCAGGTACATTTTGCACTCTATGGCCAAGACAATTACGTTTTTGAAAGGGAATTTATGTATTTTTAAATGTTTCATAGACGTTTTATAAATTTTTCTCTTCGGCGCTAAGAAAAAATATAAAATGTGCCCCTATTAATTGAGATGGATTTTGAGTTGAATTTTGCCATGTGCTTAGCCGATTTCACTTGAGTGAACGGATCCACGATCCAGATAGTGTTTTCCGAATTGCTTTAAAGGATTAACTTTTTGGACTTTGAATAAAAATTTTCAAGAAACGGCTTCTCTGTCTATTGTTTTGAGTTTGTTCATTCATAAAATTAGCTCAAACACGATCGTGACTACAACATCTAAGTTTAATTTAAGCTTTTAAAATGCTTCTCACATTCATTACAAGCATCACTTTTTGCGAAGATGTCAGGTTCAGGTTTTGGACACTTTTCGATAAGCAGCTAATGAATTTTATTCGAAAATATTTTTCACTGTTTATTCTTGACTTTTAACATAAGAATTTTAAAAGCCTATTTGCAGTATAAGTTTACTGTGCAGAGGGTCAACGAGGCATCGTATTTTGAAGTGACAACTTCAAGAAGTTGCGAGGCCGTCAATAGGTTTCATAATGTTACGTTTGGCCCGGGTGGTAAGGCAATAATATCCTGCTCAGTGTTTCAGTAATATTCCTGGTTTTAACCTTTGAAAGCTTTCTCGGCTTTCGGGAGTTTTTCTCCCGTTTGTCGGCCATTTTTTTAAGCGGGCGCGGGAACCTGAAGGAAAATTACGTCACGTTGTTTACGAAGTTTGATTGGTCAGTTATCTCTTCTTCTCGTTCCAAATATGGTACTTTCTAAAATGAATAATCACGAGCATCGGACAAAGCAAACATATGAGAGTTACACGTTTCAACCCCTTATGAGTTTCTGGTATTACTGCATAGCAACACCACAGCTACAGCAGGGACTAGAAGGAGTATGATGATAAATCTTTAGATTCTTACCTTACATATAATATTCTGTTCACTTCTGGGGGCAATCGGACCTAAAATAAGACAAAAATACGGTCAAGGAACAACGCAAATGTACCAACCATGCCATTTGTCAGCAACCGCATGTCGAACGTCATTATCAAAAATCGATAAGAAATACTTGAAAAGAAAACAAAGAATGATACAGAGTAAAAGAAAGACGTTTAATGGAGGGCATATATATTCTAAGTTTTCTAACGTGCAAAAGATCGGGTTAAAACTTACGTTCGCCTTTCTTTGATTCTGCAGCGCCATCTTGGAATACAACTTTCGTCACTGCAACATCCGGGATCCGAGAGTTCACTACGTTCCCAAAGAGTTATGGGTAATCTTTCCTCTTCCTCTCTCGCTAAGGAGTCTGGGATGAAAACATAGGAGCGAACATGGCCGCTGAAAACGGTATGGATTTCTCAGAATTCATCGTTGAGAAGGGACAAGAAGCAAACGAAGACGAGAAAAGTGAAGAAACCACTGAGATTTCTCTGTCACCAGACCTTGAAGCAGAAGAAGCTAGGAAAAATGAGCTTCGTTTGCAAGCTAACAAGGTAGTTTTGAAAAGAAAATGGGAATTTTCTAGACATGGTGTGAAAATACTTCAGGTGACACGTCACATGAGCAAAGTGCTTGCTCACTTGATGTAGTTCCTATGACTTATTATCTCTATTACAGATCAAATGATGACAATTTTTTGAATTACTGCTTTGACAAAAGTTAAAAACATGACGCGAGCGTTCGTATGAAACTGTTCTTAAGGTATCTGCACAGGCAAATTTTGCACATTTTTGCATCATTTTTAGTGGTTGTTTTATGGACAATATCTATATGTCACTACATTGACAGTATTCCTCAGTTCTTGAGGAACTAGAATATATCAAAATAAACTATGTTATGTCACCCAAAAGGTGTTAATTTAATTACCCCCTAGGGTGGCACGGAAAGAGAAAAATCAAAATTTCAGAAGAATCCTTAGAGTTATTTTTAAAAAAGAAATGTAACACAAATAAGGACGTACGATAGAATAATTCTGTGTTTGACCACGACACAGCTCCAATTAATCCAGCCTCTAGGGCACAATTTGCTATTTTGTAATTTGACCAATATTTTGACATCAATAACTCAGCTGTACAGCAATTCTAACCTTTAGTCAAACACAGATCTGTTCATTAACATGCTGTTTGTGTATTTGCCAAATTTCACGAAGTAATAATGATCCATTCCTCCAAAAAACTGGTTCTCGTAAGTCAAGGTAAATCGGTCACGCGGTAATTAACGCTTTTCCAGTGTGAAAAAGCTTATTTTCTTCTCAAAATCAACTGTTTTTCTTCGATACTACCATCACAGACCTTCTTGCCCGCCATTTTGAATCACCGCTGTGTAAAATGCTCGTGGAAGCCTAAGAAAATGCCAAATGACCTCTCTATAGCCCCCTTGGATTTTGATACGTGACCAGTTGCTAGGTGTGACGCATTTCCGGAAGATGCGTTACTCAGTGTCAGCTTTAATGCAGTGAAGCGCGCCGAAGTATGAAGATTGAAGAACAGTTTTATTCAAAATTGAAAAGAATTGCTTCTGTAAAGTGAAAGAAATTGGCAGAGAAACAGACCAGAGGATTAGGGGCCAAGAAAACGTTTTACTCTCCCGGCAAAATTGTCAGAAAATATCAGGTGAGAAGACACACCGATGTAATGTAAATTTAAAACAATAATAAGCCCTGGAAAACGGAGTGTATTTCAAGAACATAACAAATTTTGACAAGAAGCAAGTAATATTAGTCATCACAGCTTTAACAGAAGCAAGAAAAATCAAGTTGGACACACAGCGGCTGTAGTTTGTCAATGAATCCAAGCAGTGAATAGATTTTGTTCAGCGCATCAATAGAACTTGATGCTGGAAAGAGGAGTTAAATTGCGCTCCTGCCGTCCTTTTCCTTAGTAACGGAAATGAAAATTTTTCTTTAACTTCCGGTAAATCAGTCAACTTTTGAGTAGATTTTCTCTTAAATGCCAAGGTATATTAAAAAAAGAACACCAGATATGCATATTACATCATCTGAACTTACTGTAGAAAGATTTTGAGGGCAAAATAAAATGTTGAAAATTTGCCTGTGCAAATACCTTAACGATCGGAGAATCGAAATAAAACTTTGTACTTTTGAGCTTATTATGCTCATTGAATCCGAATTCCGTGATGTGTTTATGTTTTTAGGTCAATTAATCGGAATAGTAAAAAAAAATTATTTCCCTACTCATTTATGCGGTTATTATATCAGTGTTATCAGCTGAAAATTTCAAACACCTCCATATGCATGACATTATATCCATGATATTGTTGAGGTATATATTTGATAACATTCCTTTTCATGTTCTGTGGACTTTGGCTTTCTTAAACCCTTTGGCACTAGCTTTCCATTGGTCTGTTAGATGCCAAAGGTTACATTTCATGTCACTGGTTTAAAGTCATGTGCTAGAAATTTAAGTTTTTCCTTCCCTGAGGCCCAAAAGACATTTGATGATTTCTAAAAGGAAGAGAAAAACTAAGGAATGGGGACTTGAGCACATCACTTTTGCAAAGAATAACAATACATACAGCTGAACCTCCATTAAGCGGCCTCCCTAATTTTTAGCAGAAACATCACTTTATTTTGAAACAAACGCATGATAGGAGCAGCATTACTGGACCAAAATTGGGCCTCACCTTGTATCTCGGACTGTATTTCCTTCATCATATTATTGAAATAAAGCCAAACTAAGCATGGTGGGAAAAAATTGCTAAAAATTGGCCACAAATTTGTTAGCCTGCGAACAGCAGACGTTTCTTCTCGCTCATCGCCGCTGAGGGACATTTCATGAGGAGGAATGTCTGCGACTCAGCGGCAGAAATTCCATACTGATGACATAAGTCAATGTATACATAATAAATCTGGTAGTCAAGGGGTTCCAAATGCAAATTTGTTCAATTTTACATTTCTCCTGGTCAATTTTGGTAAAGTGTTGAGTTCATCTGTGAATAAGCTCAAATGTTTCTTGTAGAGAAGACTATATTCCACAAATATTGACTATTTTGTTAGAGATTCATCGTGTTTACATTTGACCTTTGCGGCCTTTTGTCTTCTGTTTGTCATTCATAAACAATAGCTAAAACAATGAAACTACTCCATCAACCAATTAGCGCTTCTGACGCTATTCTGGACAGATTTTACATCATTAGTATGGAATTTCTGTCGCTGAGTCACAGACGTTCCTCCTCTCGAAATGTACTTCAGTGGCCATGAGCAAGGAGAAACATCTGCCGTTCACAGGCTACAAGTTTGTGGCCAGTTTTTAGCAAGTTTTCCCCACCATGCATGGAATGTTACCAATATCTCTCAAACTATAAAAGATAATCAGTTGTGACTTTCACTTTTTTATTTGTCTTAAGTTATTGTTTCAAATTCTTCATTTTTTGGATTAGTACTGGGCATGTCCTAAAAGCCCATTTTGTGACGTCATCAGTTGTGAAGTCACAAAAATGAAATTTGAGAAATCAAATCTGACAAGTTCTTCAATTTTATGTGCACTATATTTCTGCAAAGGATCACAGTTTCTGGTTACATGTTCATACTTTTGAAGGAGAAACATTTGGGAATTTTGATTTTTTAATTGGCCACGAGAGGGTCTTGTGACTGGTAACCATAGAAATGCCTAATCTAAAATGTTTCTGGAATCAAGTATTGTTGCCTGTATTAATTTCAGTAACATGCCTTTAAAGGAGACAAAGTTATAGCCCTAAGAATGCCAAAAATTTTTGTGCATATCATGCCCCACTGAATGTGTTGGCCGCTCAGCTTGAAAAAATTCCCAGCTTGAACTGAATCAAGCACGCGATGTCTACTTAATAAGGGTGATAACAATGGAAGAACTCTCGTTGAGACAGGCAAAAGGTGGCCGCGGCTGCTAAACAGAGGTTTAGATTCCCATTCTTTTGCTACAGTTACTTCGAGACTTTGATTACTGGTCACTTAATGGAGGTTCTACTGTATTTCAATAATTAAAATTCCTAGTAACTTCTGTAAAGCTCACGGCTTGATTATACGTATAAAACCTGAAAGACCATGTGAGAAATTTTGGTATATATTTGGTATGCATGTACACTGTATTGTAACTGACAACAACCATGAATCAGGGCTGTCATTAAGAGCTGGGAGCCGGGGATTCCCCCCGGCTACTAAGAATGTGGCCCCCAGCTACTTTCATAGGAAAATAGAAGGAAAATAGAACCAAAAGAAATCCCTAGCTGTTTGATTCTCCACCTACTTGATATATTTACCCGTCTACTTGAAATCTTAGTGGCAACCCTGAAAAATTACTTCACTTTGATGAATTAGGTGTAAAGTCAACCGTTGTTATCACAGATGCCTGTAGGACTGGGAGTTCTAGGGCCATTATTAACAGGAGTTCATAAAAAATTGCACTTAGGGCCTGTTTATATGAAGGGAGCCATCCCTTTTAGCTGGGCTCGCCTGGTTGCTTTACTGGAATGGCTCAGCTCATACCTTATTTTCTCATAAAATTGTCCTTCTGTTTATATGAGAGCGAGATCTCGGCTGGATGAACCTCTGATCTCAGATCTGACGCCAACAAAATTTCATACTTTAATCATTACATCAATCCACCAATCAATCAAACTCCAAATAAAAAATAGCATGCACACCTGAGAGGGAGAGATACTTCTCTATTGCAGGTAGTTCTCCTGGACTCAAAGGAGCAAACTTATACAATCATTTACCTATATACCTCTGCAACGCCTTTATACCAACACCTCCTGTAATGCTATTTTTACGCGTTTATGGTTTTACGGGGCTGATGTACTCAGCTTTGGTAAAGGTTTTTGACTGTCAGTAACATTTCTATTTTTCATAACATTTTTAATGTCAGTACATACACTCTTTTCCATACTTTTTGTTGTGATAATTATCATGCAAGAGCATCAGAGTTTTTCCTGCCATTTTCGTTTTTCAGATTGAGGAAGAAATTGTTACGTTAAAACAAGCTCTCGATCGAAAGGAGAAACAGTTAGCAGAAATCAAACGGCTGTTGGGTATAACTGCATGGTCACAGTTAAAAGATGGATTTCACCAGCAGTATCAAAATCTACAAGGAACCCAGATGTATGTTTTTCTCATTTTTGTTCATGGCTGTACATGAAACCTTATGATATAATCATTGTAGTTATAAAACCTCTTTGACAGTACAGTACTTCTGTGCTGTAGTCGCAGCCTTTGCATGCTGTAGTTTTCCAACACACAAAACTTTATTGGTGAAAGGAAACAAGTGAACGGAAGCAAGACAAGAGAACGCAAATCTAAATGCAAAACAAAGTGAAGTTGTACTGAAAAACAACAATTAAACAAATACAAGCAGGCGTGGAACCACACAAGTTTCCACCGAAAATCAGTCAGATTTTTACAAAAATGAAATAATATATTTTACTAAAAATAAAACTTTCCAAGTTGAAATCGTGCCAATATCCTTTCTGAATGACTCCGAAACCCAGGACTTTGGGGAGCTACAAAAAATTTCCAAAGGGGGAGCATGCCCCGGACCCCCCTAGAAGCTTGCGCCTTTGGACTCGTTTAGGAAATCGGTCAGTATTTATCCTAGATCCACGCCTGACAAGGTCAAGATAAAATAACTCTCAAAACTAAATAAAAATCAATAGAGCAAACTGTAAAAGTAATTGAAACAGACAAGATACTTGTAAGATGATAGGAAAATAAGACACACTAGGATGAGCAAAGACCAAAAATGAAAAGACTTAAACTGGACCAGTGAAGTACAACCAAGAATTTACACGAAAATAACAATGGAAGTTAAATAATTATACTATATGCCAAAAGAGCTTGACACGAAGAACAAAGATGCGCAAACAATAAACGACAAATGAACCAAAAAACTGCTCTAAAGGTGGAAACAGGAAAAGAACTAAAAATGTGGCAAACATACAAACACTATAGATAAAAGTGCAAGATTCCTTGTGCTCTCATATACAGTCCTTTTCTTTTAGTCATTTTGTAAAAAAAGAATTTGGATTTTTTTTTTCAAGTAGCGGTACTTTAAACTCTGATCCTTACAATGGTGAAGGGTTACTAGAAAGCGACAGACCTAATGGTATACAGCAATCTAATTCAATGTTGTGCTTACCAAGTTAAGAGCTTTTTCTCTTTCCTGTTACTTCACAGGTATCAAAAAACTTCTGACACATTTAAAGATTTGAATGACAAAATTGTCCACTCACAGGCGTAAGTTCTGTAGTTCTAGTTTCAAGTTCAAGCTCTGGTGTAGGTGTAAATGTTATACCAGTAAAATAGGTATATATTTTGAGCATAAATAAGCGGTGCTTACCATTAGACAGAAAATTTCGGAAATTCTGGATGGAAGGTAAATGGTAGGGTCACTTTTCGGAAATTCTAACGGAAAATTGAGGAGTACGTTTTGAGGTAGTCCTTTCATTCCGGTTGATACGAACCAAACAGAATGTTGCTTACCATTAACCAATATCTCGGTTCCTTCCCGGTTCCAGACTCGCGCTACACAAATTCCCCCTTTTTTGGATTCAAACCATAACGGATGTGGCATTTCTACAGTAAACTGGCAAATCGCTTACCATTATGCTTGCGACACCCCAACCAGTTTTTTCTGTCAAATGGTAAGCACCCAAGGTTTCTATCAGGGCTGCCTTAATTTCAGATATTCTTATGTTCAGGAGTTCTTACGAGGGTTTCTTACATCCAGTGTTCTTACAGCCATGGGTTTTTATCTCCTGGGCCGGGTTGTTCAAAACAGGGTCAAGTTAACCCAGGGTTAGTGCAAAATTTGATTTCAGATAGGAAAGCTTAAAAACCAAATTCAGTTTTATACCTTTTCCCTACAATTTTATGATTAGATGCTCTAAAAAGAAGAGAGAAAGTTATCCAGGAAAATGCTTTTGAACAAAAGAAAAAAAACCCAGGTTAAAATTTAACCCTGGGTTGGCATTAATTGGCCTTCGAACAACTGGGCCCTGGGGTCTTACCTCTAGGGGTTCTTATATTCAGGGGTCTTACAGCCAGGAGGTCTTACATCCAGGGGTCTTACAGCTAGTAGGTCTAACATGTAGGGGTTCCTATGTCTAGGGATTCTTACATGCAGGCGTTTTTTGTTTTGTTTTTTAAGACGGCTGCATTCACAGGCTAATCAGTATTAATACCAGTAATTGTAATAGGTGAATTTTTGTCAACTACCCATGTATAAGTTTGGTGTGTCTAATCCTTAGTGATTTTGGTCCATTTGCATTTTCAGGTACAACAAACTCAGCACTGGAGCTGCTGCAACAAAGACAATGTTAAGTGATGCAGGATCAAGGACAGCAACTGCTGCAAAAAATGTTGGATCAGCAACAGCCAAGAAACTTGGAGAAATCAGGTATAAAAACTGCTGAATTGTCCTGCTGTTTGTGTTGTGCAGTGAGAAGGTTCTGGTCTTTATTTCTGTTTTTTTTTGTCTGGTTTGTTCCATGAAGGGGTTCATCAATGTTTCAATCTTTGGAGACTAGGGTGGTTTCAGCTTCTTCAAGTATAAAGGTGAGCAATAGTTTTTTGCAGGTGAAAATAACATAAATTGCTATGCAAGTTCTTGTATATCAGGGTTGTCAAAACAAGCCAGCTGCTGGCAAAAATCGTCATCTACTTGGTTATTATCGGCCGACTACTCTGCTTGGCATTTCTTTGCGGATGGCTGTCTGTCCTCACTCCTTGCTGCTTGGAATGTTTCGCAGGAAAAATGAAACTTCCCTAGTGGTGAGGAGCGAGGAGAGGTGGCTGAATTTGCAGGTTACAGAGGCCCTGTCAGTAAACACCATTAGTTAGGTCAAGGAAATTTCATTGTGTTAACTTGGTGGTCAAATTACTAAACAAGGTGGTGTTACATTGCGTTTGTAATGACAGGTAAAATTGAGTCTTGTGTGATCTATCAATATGCTGGAAATCACATAAAGCGCTTTAATGACTTTGTATACTTCAGCATTACTGTTTGTAAGCTTGAATGTAGCCTGCATCAACATAGTCTAACCTCAGTTAGTAACGTCTGCAATTCAGCACCAAGATCCTAGTTCTGGGCCCCCAACGGACTGAACAAATTACCGGAAGTGCGTTTTGAATTTCCCGTCAACCTAATCGGCAAATTGATAATGGCTTTATTAACCCTTGAAGTCCCAATAGTGACCAACATCAATTTTCTCCTAACAATATTCATACAATGTCAAGAGATTAGGTTATGAGAATTAATTAAATGATCACCTTAGAGAAAATGCTTTGATCGTTTATCAAATTCTCTCAACTCATTCTTTAAGGAAATGTATAGAGTTCAGTTTGGAGAATTTGTACATGTATATTGGGGCTTAAAGGGTTAACAGGCCAATCATGGTGCATACTCAATTCCTGGTACACAGGTGAGGGCCCAGAAAAGGAATTTTGGAGCTGTTTCACAGACAGACTTAACCAGAAGTTTAGTTCCATCTGTGGTGTCTTGAGTGGTACTGCCTCCATCAAGTATTTTACTTGTCATACTAACGAGGTTAAATTGCAAAAAAACTGGGGACAGTCTGCAAATGTTACTAAGTCACTGGTTAAAAGAGGATGGTTGTATTTATAAAGGTTGTAGAAGTAGCGGGTAAAAGTAAGTGACCATCTTAGCTGGGTGTGGCTGTATGGTGGGATTATAATATCCTGTGACAGAAGACTGCTTTTTCTATGGCAACCAGACAGAGAAAAAGCACAAACAGAAGAGGATTGTTATTATTTTAACCCTCTTAAGTCCCAAGTGTGGCCAACATCTCCTAGCAATGTCATTGTTCTCCTTATCAGGCGGTAACCAGTAAAATTTACCACCTGAAGCAACAGTTCTTATCGCCTGCAACGACCTGAAGGTTTACCAAAATTAAAGAACTACTTTAAAGAATACACAAGTTGTGATCCAATCCAATTCTCGCATGCCACAAGGAAATGAAAGGATATATGGAAAAGTACTAAAGTATACACAGCTTTTCTTTTTATGGCCCATGCATTTTGGAAAGAGAACTTTGAAGACAGAGTAAAATTATTGGTATCAATCATTAAATTGTTTTGTAAAGGGTACAATGACCGATTTGCATAAAATAGGTCTCAAAATGAGGGAATGACATTTCAGAGAACTTGGCTCCTAAATTTCCAACAAGGGTGGGGCCATGTCCCGCACTCCACTAAGGAAAAGGCCCCCAGGAAAGTGCACCTCTGGTGCATATTTTTTTGCCCTAGCAGCTATGAATGATCCCTTGACTGCTGAACTAAAATTTAGGGAGAACACTGCAATGTTAGCACATAGTCAGCAGAAAAGGTTATGAGAACTAATCAAGTGATGACCTGAGTAAAAATGCTTTGGTCTTTAAACAAATTCTCTCAACTAGTTCTTTAAGAAAATGTATGGAAATCGCTGTGGAGAATTTGTATTTGGATACTGGGGCTTAAAGGGTTACCTGTAAGATGTGTCATTGTCAGGTGGAGACTGTCAACTTTGCCGGATAAAAAGGAAATTAATAATATAAATGATTTAGTCACCTTTCCAAGCTTGAGCCATTTCTAGTTAATGTGCTATAATGCAGTGTAGCAAAAAGGTAAAAAAAGGTGCCTAAGCAGCTTAGCCTATGAAACAGCCTTTTCACCACTGAATGTTGATTTGTATCTATGGTTTTAACAATTGAATATAAGATTTATGATGTTGTAAACTCTTAATATGTTGCCATTGCCTTGATTACTATTTTCAGTTAAGTGACCAATTTTTTTTTTGGTGAGGTTGTCAAAGTTCTGCATATCTTTTGAAAGGAGTGGCTAGGAAGAACGTCAAAAGACTTCTGATAAACGGCATGGTTCTCCTTCCAAACTGCTTTACATTTACTTGTGAAACAAAGAGAGAATTTAACATTTAATCAAGAGTTAATGGCATGAGGGCCCTAATTCACGTAGCTGTTAGTGTGGTCCCTACTAATTCAACTTTAAAAGACTATAAAATCCGTACTTATCACAGAACTTCAGAACTGCTTCAGCAAAAGGTTCATTTCATTCTCTTTTAAAAGCGATAAGCATAATGTAACTCGATATAAAGTTTATATTCTTTTAAAACCTCATGTTAAGATAGTATTAAGAGGCAAGAGAAAATTCATTAGTTCCCTAGGATTTAAACTGCCATTAAAAACCTTACTCATCATCTAACAGCCAATATTCTAATATTACTCTCTCACTGTAGTTTAAGATGCTTGGAAGTTCAAACAAGGGAAAACTAACAACGCCAACTTCACCTGATAATGACAACGGTCTATCCTGAAGATTGATTACTGGTAGTAAATAATTTCTGGTGTAATGTGCCTTTCTTGGGATGGTTATCTCAATAAGAGATTAGTCAGTGATCTGGATCACCAAGTGGATTTTGTAAATAACTGGTCCACAAAAATGTTTTCTCTAATTTCCATTTTACATATGTCTTTTGAAGTAGCTTATCTACTTAATAAGATAAAATGATAACAATTAAATTTCTGTCTGATAAAATTGAGAATGATACTTTTTGTCATGCAAGTGGTATATATAACCTTCCAACTATCTTTTCACAAAAGTTGTTGATTCATGTACTTTGATAGAAATACTTTTACGGAAATAACATCAACTTTTATCCTTTACCTAACTAATCTAACGTCTCAATTCTCCAACCATTATTATAGATTGTTTAAGTATTTAGCAATATTTAATAATTATGTGTATGATAGGAGATTTTCATGATATTTTCATTAATTTCTTGGGAGATTAGCTTGTGCTTCATTGAAGAAGAGACCACCAGGGTTCGCACAGTTTTGAAAAGTCCTTGAAAATCGAATGTGGTCCTTGAAATGTCATTGAAAAGTCCTTAGAAATTTTTTTTTTTTTTTTTTTTTTTTTTCTTTAATAACATTTATTGTGATGTCACAAAAATGAAATTTGAGAAATCAAATCTGACAAGTTCTTCAATTTTATGTGCACTATATTTCTGCAAAGTATCACAGTTTCCGGTTACATGTACATACTTTTGAAGGAGAAACGTTTGGGAATTTTGATTTTTTAATTGGCCACGAGAGGGTCTCGTGACTGGTAACCATAGAAATACCTAATCCAAAATGTTTCTGGAATCAAGTATTGTTGCCTGTATTAATTTCAGTAACATGCCTTTAACGGAGACAAAGTTATAGCCCTAAGAATGCCAAAAATTTTTGTGCCTATCATGCCCCCTCTGAATGTGTTGGCCGCTCAGCTTGAAAAAATTCCCAGCTTGAACTGAATCAAGCACGCGATGTCTACTTAATAGGGGTGATAACAATGGGAGAACTCTCGTTGAGACAGGCAAAAGGTGGCCGCGGCTGCTTAGATTGCTTTAGGTTTAGATTCCCATTCTTTTGCTACAGTTACTTTGAGACTTTGATTACTGGCCACTTAATGGAGGTTCTACTGTATTTCAATAATTAAAATTCCTAGTAACTTCTGTAAAGCTCACAGCTTGATTATATGTATAAAACCTGAAAGATCATGTGAGAAATTTTAGTATATTTGGTATGCATGTACACTGTATTGTAACTGACAACATCCATGAATCAGGGCTGTCATTAAGAGCTGGGAGCCAGGGATTCCCCTGGGCTACTAAGAATGTGGCCCCCGGCTACTTTCATAGGAAAATAGAACCAAAAGAAATCCCTAGCTGTTTAATTCTCCACCTACTTGATATATTTACCCATCAACTTGAAATCTTAGTGGCAACCCTGAAAAATTACTTCACTTTGATGAATTAGGTGTACAGTCAACTGTTGTTATTGTAAACACCTGTAGGACTGGGAGTTATAGTGCCGTTAATAACAAGAGTTTGTAAACAACTGCACTTAGGGCCTGTTTATAGGAGGGGAGCCATCCCTTTTAGCTGGGCTCGCCTGCTCTGCTGGGCTGGCTCAGCTCATACCTTGTTTTCTCATAAAATTGTCCTTCTGTTTATATAAAAGCAAGATCTCGGCTGGATGAACCTCTGATCTCAGATCTGAAGCCAACAAAATTTATAGTTTAATCATTACAACAATCCACCAATAAATCAAGCTCCTAATAAAAAGGAGCATGCGTGCGCATGAGAGAGATACTTCCTTATTGCAGACAGTTCTCCTGGACTCAAAGGAGCAAAACTTATACAATCATTACCTATATACCTATGCAACGCCTTTATACTAACACCTCTCCTGTAATGCTATTTTTACCCTTTTATGGTGCCGATGTACTCAGCTTTGGTAAATGTAATATTAAGGAGGTTTTTTGACTGTCAGTAACATTTCTATTTTTCATAACATTTTTAATCTTAGTACACACACTTATTTTTTTCATACTTTTTGTTGTGATAATTATCATGCACGGGCATCAGAGGTTTTCCTGCTATTTTTGTTTTTCANTGTGATAATTATCATGCACGGGCATCAGAGGTTTTCCTGCTATTTTTGTTTTTCAGATTGAGGAAGAAATTGTTACATTAAAACAAGCTCTCGATCGAAAGGAGAAACAGTTAGCAGAAATCAAACGGCTGTTGGGTATAACAGCATGGTCACAGCTAAAGGATGGATTTCACCAGCAGTATCAAAATCTACAAGGAACTCAGATGTATGTTTTTCTCATTTTTGTGGCTGTACATGAAACCTTATGGTGTAATCATTGTAGTTATAAAACTTTGACAGCACAGTACTTCTGTACTGTAGTCGCAGCCTTTGCACGCTGTAATGGGGAGCATGGCCCAGACCTCCCATAGAAGCTTACGCCTTTGGTGCTCATTTAGGAAATTGGTCAGTATTTATCCTAGGTTCACACCTGACAAGGTCAATATAAAATAACTTAGAAAACTAAACGGAAGCAATTGAAACAAACGAAATGAAACAAACGAGATACTTACAGTATAAGATGATAGCGAAATAAGACGCACTAGGATGAGCAAAGACCAAAAATGAAAAGACTTAAACTGGACCAGTGAAGTACAACCAAGAATTTACATGAAAGTTACAATCAGAGCTAAATAATGATACTATATGCAAAAAAAAAAACCTGACACGATAAACAAAGATGCACAAACAATAAACAACAAATGAACCAAACAACTGCACTAAAGGTAGGAACAGGAAAGGAACTAAAACCATTGCAAGCATACAAACACTATAGATAAACGCATGAGACTGCTTCCACTCTCATGTACAGTACTTTTCTTTTTGTCATTTAGAAAAAATAGGATTTTGATTTTTTTTTCGAGTAGCGGTACTCCTTACAATGGTGAAGGGTTACTAGAAAGCGGGAGCCCTTATGGTATACAGCAATCTAATTCAATGTTGAGCTTACCAAGTTAAGAGCTTTTTCTCTTTCCTGTTACTTCACAGGTATCAAAAAACTTCTGACACATTTAAAGATTTGAATGACAAAATTGTCCACTCACAAGCGTAAGTTCTGTAGTTCTAGTTTCAAGTTCAAGCTAGGGTGTAGGTGTAAATGTTATACCAGTAAAATATGTGTATATTTTGAGCATAAATAAGGTTTCTATCAGGGCTACCTTACTTTCAGAGATTCTTATGTTCAGGAGTTCATACGAGGGGCTCTTAAATCCAGTGTTCTTACAGCCATGGGTTCTTATCTCCTGGGGTCTTACCTCTAAGGGTTCTTACATTCAGGGATCTTACAACCAGGAGATCTTACATCCAGGGGTCTTACAGCCAGGAGGTCTTACATCCAGGGGTCTTACAGCCAGGAGATCTTACTTGTAGGGGTTCTTATGTCTAGGGGTTCTTACATGCAGGGTTTTTTTTGTTTTGTTTTTAAAGACGGCTGCATTCGCAGGCTAATCAGTATTAATACCAGTAATTGTAACAGGTGAATTTTTGTCAACTAACCATGTATAAGTTTGGTGTGTCTAATCCTCAGTGATTTTGGTCCATTTGTGTTTTCAGGTACAACAAACTCAGCACTGGAGCTGCTGCAACAAAGACAATGTTAAGTGATGCAGGATCAAGGACAGCAACTGCTGCGAAAAATGTTGGATCCGCAACAGCCAAGAAACTTGGAGAAATCAGGTATGAAAATGGCTGAATAGTCTGCTGTTTGTGTTGTGCAGTGAGAAGGTTCTGGTCTTTATTTCTGTTTGTTTTTTCTGGTTTGTTTCATGAAGGGGTTCATCAATGTTTCAATCTTTGGAGACTAGGGTGGTTTCAGCTTCTTCAAGTATAAAGGTGAGCAATAGTTTTTTGCAGGTGAAAATAACATAAATTGCTATGCAAGTTCTTGTACATCAGGGTTGTCAAAACGAGCCGGCTGCTGGGGAAAATCGCCATCTACTTGGTTATTATCAGCCGGCTACTCTGCTTGGCATTTCTTTGCGGATGGCTGTCTCTCCTCACTCCTTGCTGCTTCGAATGTTTCGCAGGAAAAATGAAACTTCCCTAGCAGTGAGGAGTGAGGAGAGGTGGCTGAATTTGCAGGTTACAGAGGCCCTGTCAGTAAACACCATTAGTTAGGTCAAGGAAATTTCATTGTGTTAACTTGGTGGTCAAATTACTAAACAAGGTGGTGTTACATTGCATTTGTAACAACAGGTAGAATTGAATCTTGTGTGATCTATCAATATGCTGAAAATCACATAAAGCAGTTTAATGGCTTTGTATACTTCAGCATTACTGTTTGTCAGCTTGATTGTAGCCTGCATCAACATAATCTAACCTCAGTTAGTCACGTCTGCAATTCAGCGCCAAGATCCTAGTTCTGGGCCCCCAATGGACTCAACAAATTACCAGAAGTGCGTTTCGAATTTCCCCTCAACCTGATCGGCAAATTGACAATGGCTTTATAAACAGGCCAATCATCGTGCATACTCAATTCCTGGTAGACAGGTGAGGGCCCAGAAAAAGAATTTTGTTGCTGTTTTACAGACAGGCTAACCAGAAGTTTAGTTCCATCTGTGGTGTCTTGAGTGGTACTGCCACCTTCAAGTATTTTACTTGTCATACTAATGAGGTAAAATTGTAAAAAAGATTACTGGGGACTGCAATGTTAGTCACTGGTTGTTAAAGGAGGATGGCTGTGTTATAAAGGTTGTAGAAGTAGGGGGTAAAAGTAAGTGGTCATCTTAGCATGGTGTGGCTGTAAATTAGGATTGTAATATCCTGTGACAGAAGACAGCTGTTTCCATGGCAACCAGACAGAGAAACAGCACAAACAGAAGAGGATTGTTATTATTTTAACCCTCTTAAGTCGCAAGTGTGGCCAACATCTCCTAGCAATGTCATTGTTCTCCTTATCAGGCGGTAACCAGTAAAATTTACCACCTGAAGCAACAGTTCTTATCGCCTGCAACGACCTGAAGGTTTACCAAAAAAGTACTTTAAAAAGTACACAAGTTGTGATCCGATCCGATTTTCGCATGCCACAAGGAAATGAATGGATATATGGAAAAGTACTAAAGTATACACAGCTTCTCTTTTTATGGCCCATGCATTTTGGAAAGAGAACATTGAAGACAGAGTAAAATTATTGGTATCAATCGTTAAATTGTTTTGTAGAGGGTACAACGACCAATTTGCATAAAATAGGTCTTAAAACGAGGGAATGACATTTCAGAGAACTTAGCTCCTAAATTTCCCAACAAGGGTGGGACCATGTCCCACTCTCCACTACCCCCCTGCCCCCAGGAAAGTGCGCCTCTGGTGCATATTTTTTGTCCTAGCCGCTATGAATGGTAACACTGCAATGTTAACACATAGTCAAAAGAAAAGGTTATGAGAACTGATTAAGCGATGACCTGAGTGAAAATGCCTTGATCTTTAAACAAATTCTCTCAACTAGTTCCTTAAGGAAATGTATGGAAATGAGTGTAGAGTATTTGTATGTGGATACTGGGACTTAAAGGGTTACCTGTAAGATGTGTCATTGTCAGGTGGAGACTGTCAACATTGCTGCATAAAAAGGAAATTAATAATATAAATGATTTAGCCACCTTTCTAAGCTTGCGCCATTTCTAGTTAATTTGCTATAATGCAGTAATAGTAAAAAGGTAAAAAAAGGTACCTAAGCAGCTTAGCCTATGAAACAGTCTTTTCACCGCTGCATGTTGATTTGTATCTTTGGTTTTAACAATTGAATATAAGATTTACGATGTTGCAAACTCTTAATATGTTGCCATTGCCAGGTTTCCTTGATTACTATTTTCCGTTAAGTGGTTGTCTGCAGTAAAGTGACCAGTTTTTTTAGTGAGGTTGTCAACTGCATAATTATCTTTTGAAAGGAGTGGCCTGGGAAGAGCCTCAAAAGACCTCTGATAAACAGCATGGTTCTCCTTCCAAACTGCTTTACATTTACTTGTGAAACAAAGAGAGAATTTAACATTTAATCAAGAGTTAATGGCGTGAGGTCCCTAATTCACGTAGCCGTTAATTTGGTCCTAACTAATTCAACTTTAAAAGACTCTACAAAATCAGTGCTTATCACAGAACTTCAGAACTGCTTCAGAAAAAGGTTCATTTCATTCTCTTTTAAAAGTGATAAGCATAATGTAACTCAATATAAAGTTTATATTCTTTTAAAACCTCATGTTAAGATAGTATTAAGAGGCAAGAGAAAATTCATTAGTTCCCTAGGATTTAAACCGCCATTAAAAACCTTACTCATCATCTAACAGCCAATATTCTAATATTGCTCTCTCACTGTAGTTTAAGATGCTTGGAAGCTCAAACAAGGGAAAACTAACAACGCCAACTTCACCTGATAATGACAACAGTCTATCCTGAAGATTGATTACTGGTAGTAAATAATTCCTGGTGTAATGTGCCTTTCTTGGGATGGTTATCTCAATAAGAGATTAGTCAGTGCTCTGGATCACCAAGTGGATTTTGTAAATAACTGGTCCACAAAAATGTTTTTTTCCAATTTCCATTTTACATATGTCTTTTGAAGTAGCTTATCTACTTAATAAGATAAAATGATAACAATTAAATTTCTGTCTGATAAAATTGAGAATGATACTTTTTGTCATGCAAGTGGTAGATATAACCTTCCAACTATCTTTTCACAAAGCTTGTTGATTCATGTACTTTGATAGAAATACTTTTACGGAAATGATATCAACTTTTATCCCTTACCTAACTAATCTAACGTCTCAATTCTCCAACCATTATTATAGATTGTTTAAGTATTTAGCAATATTTAAAAATTATGTGTATGATAGGAGATTTTCATAATATTTTCATTAATTTCTTGGGAGATTAGCTTGTGCTTCATTGAAGAAGAGACCACCAGGGTTCGCACAGTTTTGAAAAGTCCTTGAAAATCGAATGTGGTCCTTGAAATGTCATTGAAAAGTCCTTAGAAATGGTTGCAATTTTTTGTATGAACCCTGAACCATAAAAAAATGATCAGAAGCAGAATTGCTGCTACTAGTTGTAGTTTTTTTTTTTACAAAAGTGTCAGACCCTATTAATTTTTTGACAAGAATCAAAAGGCAATCAAGATAAACAAGTGGGGTTAGGGTGTGCACATCTTTCTATTTAAGATTTTCGCTTAGCATAGCTTTATTTTTTGTCAGAGTATACTGGTACGTGCCTTTTCAATGATATGCAGATCAAGGAGGGAAACTTTCCTTTCCTTTTTTTTGCTTTCCCATTAAACCTCTTCCAGGTGTTAGCAAGTTAAGGAAATAATAATATTATACATTTGTCATTGAAAGTGGTAGGAAGGCAAAGTGACCGCTGGTAATAAAGCAGTGGACCACACCCTTACCCACACACCAGACAGTGCTTGCTGCTACACTCTCTTACCCCCGTCCACATATACACGCACACTAGACAGTGGTTGCCAGTACACCACCATGGGGATGTAGACCCAACTTTCTTTTGGAATACTTGCAGATAGTATAGTAATGCTAGCTCTCATTTGATGTAATACCCCCCTGTTGTTACTTCTATTAATAGCTTTTTTAACATGAACTTGCTGCCTTTCCTTCTTAGTCTGCCTACCGTGTGGCTTGAAATTTTTTGGGGGAGTTTGATTTTCTGCATCATTGATTTTTGGGATAGTAGATTGTAGACTGTTTTTCCTTGCTGGGGATTAATTTTTGCCGTTTTCGGGAAGTCATTGCATCAGTGTCACTTATTAACAATACTTTTCTGAGATGAATGCCCTAGTGTGATGGTTTTTGTAATGACCATGATATCATGTGTTGCATTTTCCCCGAGTTATCACTGGCATTTTATCTTTCATACCGATTTACTTCAGTGGAAGCAAACTTTTGCGGAGAAACGTTTTGAGAGATTTTTTTTGGCAGATTTGTTAAAAAAAGAAAGTTAATTACGAAAGTTAGAACGCACAAAAATTTAGTGTCACACGGTAGTGCAGTACAGACTCATATAGTTCGTCCAGTGCCAGCTTCGCTTTCTTTATTTTTCCTCTTCAAATAAGTCTTGAACTGAGTGGCCTTCCTTTGATGACTTATAATTGATAAAATAGAAGAGCAATATTTTGGCAAGGCAATACAAGGCCTTATTTAACCATTAGGCTGCATATTGATATACCAACACTAGTCAACTAAATGTTAACACAACTGTGTTGTTTATCTAGTCTTTTTAAAGTAACGAATACTTTTTTCAGACTTGAAAACCGTGTAAATTTGACTACAATAAGATCAGTCAAGAATGAGTCAAGTATTTGTAATTAATACTAAGGATTTCTAAATTGACTGATTCAGCCTCAGTCAATCATCTTACTTGATGTTATTTACAATAACACGAGTGCTACTTGGATTTTCAAAGTAAATAAATAGCATCTTGTGCTAAGCTGCAGTCTCTGAGAATTTGTGGGTGTAAAGATTGGACACCTTTGGGTTATGGACTAGTCAATGTGCCCAATGTGGTAGTATGCGATATTTTGCTTAAGTGTGCCCACCTTTCTATTGACCCATAGTAGTTTATAGTATCAGATAAAAATAGTATGGACAGTCCCACCAAATGCTGTTTTTTCCGTTCTTGCTCGTCTCCTCTTCCTCCCAATGTATTCTATTGCAGTTAAGTCACAAAATCTTGTACATCAACATTAGGAGGACAAGAAGGCAGTAAAGTGACCCGCAGTGTTCTTTTTATCCCCAGTACAGTATAGTCATCATATCCGTCGGGGCCTAAGCATGAGTCATGCGTGGTGTTCTAAGGTTCCCTGGGCCTGTCTAAGAAGTATCTTGTTTAAGTCCCCAAGGCTTTCTTAAGGCCGGCATTGAAATTCATAACCTTGCAGTCCACTGTTAAGGTCTCCAGGGCCTGTCTAAGATCCCCTGAAAAATGCACAACATGAAATGGCCCGTCTAAGTTCCCCTAAAAGATATACCTTGTTAAGTTCCCCAAAGCCTTCTCAAGACCTCATTTAAACTGACAACCTTGCAATCCACTGTCAAGGTTCCCTGGGCCTGTCTAAGACCTTGAAAATACACTATGTAGCAGTACCCTGTTAAGGTCCCTTGGACCTGTCTAAGTTCTCTTCAAAAATGCACAACGTGGAAGTATATTGTATAGGTCCCCAGGGCCTTGTAAAGGCCGGCATTGAAGTACATAACCTTGCAGTCCCTTGACTTGAAATAAAATATCTTGTATGACTTTTTGTGTGATTTTATTTTACTATGTGTATATACTACTATATTTATGTCAATACTTTTTGAGGCAATAAAAATAAATACATAAATAAATAAATAAATAAATAAACCTTCAAGTCCACTGTTAAGGTCCCCTGGGTCTGTCAAAGACCTCCCTTAAAATACACAACATGGCATCGAAGTAACCTGTTTAGGTCCCCAGAGCCTTCTTAAGATCCCCATTAAAATTCACAACCTTGCAGTCCCCTGTTAAGTTTCCAGCCTGGGCCTCTGTATGCTGCTATCATGTCCTCCCAATAGCTTGAGACTTCGGCCTTGCAGACGAGGTCAGCTTAAACTTGCGGAACTTTGTACATACCATAACCTTTGGTATTTTATTGCACAGGAGAGAGTGATAGGACAGAGATCTAACAGCCTTGATGAATCTGAGATGAACAAGAACAATGAACCAGAAGTTCAGGAGATAACCATTACATCTCAACCTACTGAATAAATAAGAAATCCTTAAAATCATCAATATATTGATAAATCTAAAATTTAGAATAAATAAGCAATAGTATCAGTACGATAATAGTTTTCTACAAGTAAAAATACCGCATACTGCTGCTTATAAACTCTGGACTTATCCAGTTTTTTAAGGGATCTTAGAAGTAACCTGCGATCGGGCTTATTTTTTGGGGGGAGAGAAAAATTCGGAAAACGCCCTACCATTACAAAGAGCATAGGAAGGACGCCTGATCACAGGTTACCTTCGGTGGGCTTACAACCCAAATATAAATGGCGCTTCGTAACAAGCTCTAGCAGTGTTTTTAAACTATCATGATGAGTCATGTTCTTTTCAATCAAGAGAGAATGGCTGTTTCAATAGATTCGGAGGCGGCTTTAATTCGTGGGGCTCTTAATCGGGTGTATTTTTTGTTTACAGGTAGATGGGCCTATACCTGGAGGGGTGTTTAAGTGGCGGGAGGGGGGGTGTTTTTAAGCGGAATTTTACTATGTCCTTGTCAGTTATATGTTGAACATGTCTGGATCTATTTATTTTGATCAAAATAGCCAGTTCGCGGTGTGCGCGTTTTATCAAACATTATCAGTAAAAGAGTTCTTGAAGATTAGTTTTCTAAAGAGAATCTTCAACTTGAACGTAAGATGACAATTTTCTTTACGTATTGTTTTATAATCTAGTACCCAGATCTCTTGCCTGCGTCGCAGACGCTCTAAACCTTCAGTATAGAGGGTCTGGGACCGTACAAAATGATTTAGACGAGTGCGTGGGCCGGCTGCAAAGCAGGCTACCAGATCTCTTGGCGACAAAATGTAACATTTTTATCTGGGTACATCACTGATTAACAAATGCTATTTAACTGTTTTTTATGAGTATCACACAATCACATAAGGTATGTTCATTGAAATGGTAAAATGCAGACATCTTGAATGAAGCCTCGCGAGCAAGCTTTCTATTTGGGGATGTCGTGGGAGGTCAAGCGCGAGCAGCACGCGTAAGGCTGTCGCGCGACTCGCTTTGCTCGCCTCTAGAAATGGAGATCTTGCTCGTCGGCTACCTATGTGTGAGGGTTAAGGCATAGTTATTTTTTCTACATTAAGGTAGATCGAACAATGACCGTTTTTGCGCAGTTTAAAAATCAGTTATATCTTTCCAGCAACTTTTATGAAGAATTTCCAGTTTATTAAATGAGCAGTGAAGAATTTTAACAGGGTTTTTATTATCTTTAGTCATCAAGTACAAGTTTACGGTGGGTTGAAAGGGATTTTGTGATCGCCATGGGTTTCTTGGTGATGAGTTTCGAAAAAAAAAAATATCGCGCCAATTTCCCAACCAATCAGAATTGAATTGAAAGCTATTGCTCGCGCGAATGTGCCTGAGGCCGGCCACACGTACTGATTGGTTCATTTGATTGCCTGTACGGACAAGGATTGGACAAAGTAATCGTTTTGGTTTTGGGTTTACTAAATGCGTCGTTAAGATACACGTACGACCAGCTTGGGCCCAGATTTCCAGACTACTTGCAATAGAGGGGAAAAAAAAAATACTTTTTTAAACCTACGAATTGATGTTATTATAAAATGTGTAATTCCTTTTATATTACTCAGTTTTATATTAAATTGTGTGATCTTTATGCATGTGTCTTTTTGTGGGTCTGTTTTAAAGTCCTAACGGTGTAGAGCTAGAAGAGAAGGCTGTATTTGCAGGCTATTCTGTGGCTATTCTGTGTTTTCACTGTCAATGTCACTGGTAGCCTCCCACGCAGGCGTTTTTAGGGGAGCTCGTTTTTCATCCCTCCCAACGAGCTCCCCTAAAAACGCCTGGGAGGCTATGTCACTGGCGGCGCTATCAAAAATAAAANAGCTAGAAGAGAAGGCTGTATTTGCAGGCTATTCTGTGGCTATTCTGTGTTTTCACTGTCAATGTCACTGGTAGCCTCCCACGCAGGCGTTTTTAGGGGAGCTCGTTTTTCATCCCTCCCAACGAGCTCCCCTAAAAACGCCTGGGAGGCTATGTCACTGGCGGCGCTATCAAAAATAAAAATGCAAACCAATCAATACAGAATAATAATAATAATAATAATAATATTATTATTATTATTATTATTATTATAATAGTAATAATAATAATAATTTATGAACTTATTGAATGATCACTGCGCATTACATAAGATAATGCATTTTAAAAAATAGCAATATGAAGAATATATATGCATGCAAGTAAGGACTGAATATAAAATTGATCACCAATATACAGTTCTAAAGAGATAAGTCTTAATATGCGCCTTAAAACTGTTCACATTAGTAATCGTAGTAATCTGGGAAGTGAAAGACGATAAAACAGTATACAAAAGCCTGGCCAAGAATCTGGTCTGTGCGATAATTCATATGCGAGATATTCGGAAAAAGCTTTTACAAGACAAATGCAAGGAATGTTTAGATGGCAAATTCTCAAAAAATCAGTAACGTTTTTAACCCACATAAGAGCTTTCCCGGCCGCCAGCTAAATGTTGCGTCACGCAAAAGCCTGGAAATTCAAGCGTCTTCTATCGCAAAACGAAGAACCCTTCGGAACCCGAACATCTCTGTAAATAAAGGTTTTTAGGTGTTGTAATACCTTATGAAAGGAGAAACTCAGAAGAATCGATAGTTTCTTAGATTGAATTTTAGTGATGTCATGTGAAAACCCGTAATTGTCGCAGACTCGGCGGTGTATATGAACAATTTTTTTTTTGTTTGATGATCCGTATCCATCTTCCGCCCTTACTTGAAAACTTTCGTCCCGCCTTTTTTCCCGACCCAACTGACTGCCCCTGGGTCTCCGAAGATGATCCGTATCGCGCACCTTGTGGAGCTAGTCAGTCGAGGGGAGCGAGTTGGGGGCTGGACCCTTTCAATCTTCAGCGAATTTACAATAAATCATGCACTCGTAAACTTTCTAGATGTCAACTGGGTAGATGTCAGCGCCATTTACTTGTTTGTTGAATAATCATTGAGGCGTTTTTACCAAACTTAAGTAAAAATTATAATTTCTACTTTTTCTGCCAAAATAAACAAAATTTACAAAAACTAGTATAATTATTTGCATAATTATAGGAAAATACATACACTGCTAGTAGCATATTATGCTTCTTTTGCGAGCACAGTTGCAAGGGGAAGGGTGCAAACAATCACCCTAGTGTGAAATTAATAAAACAAACAGGAAGAATATACAATATTTTACAGATTCGGGCTACTTTTTCTTTTTTTTTCTCTTTCATTCAGTAACTTTTGGTCAAAAGGAATCGATATCAGATGGTGTTCTCTAAGTGTTAAGTTTTAAATCCCTGCGCATACATGCATACCGGTTGGGCGGACCTCGGGACACCAGAAAATATTTTGGAACACCTCAAATAAATAAAGCAAAACTATAAAACAAAAGCCTTTTTTATATTTTACAGACATTGGGGTTCGGATTTGTATGTAAACTAGAATGGCTTGGACTATATCAACTTGGAAATTCAACCTAAAATTATGGCCAATCTTTGAAAATACCAAGCAACGAAGACAGAGCTACCCTGATCCCAGTCGCGAAAGAGAGAGCGAGCCGCGAAAGCTCGCTTTTTCTACGAAAAATTTCAAGAAAAACTTCTGGGACCAGAGTAAGACAGAGAAGTTGCTTCCTCAAGTAGTGGGCTCCTCTACGTTTTCACTACGGCCAGCGCGGCCTGATGGAAAGAGCACAGGAAAACCACACAATTTTGTGACCATTGTAATGTTTGAATTTGGAGAAAATGTATGAAAATATCGAAAAGGTTCATATTATCGCAACATTATGCGATAAATTCTTTTAATTAATATCAAAATTTAAAAAAAAGCGTTTCAATTCGGGTTATAGTGTTAATTTTGTGTGGGCGCCCCGTGGGAGCGACACTGGGTTCTACCTTTAAATCCCATGAGTCGTTGCGGGAGTGGAAGGTGTCTTCAAACAGAAACCATAGCAACGCAGGTTGCTAAATAGCAACGACAGCGGCCATGTTTGTTAGTGAGAAATTTTGAACGACAGTGAAAAGGTCTTTACGAGTTGATCGGTGGAAATTACACAAACATTTTAACTTGAAAAGATGACCTCTCTTCCATTTCTCCCAGGAAATTCGTTTACAGATCCTACGGTATGTATATTTTGTGAAATGTTTGGTTGTCATGAATGTTGAAGTAGGAAAAATCACTGTAAATCGACATATATGTATGGCCTGGGAATATTACCTTCTTATTTCTTTTGGGTTATATTTTTTAATGTTTCTAAATTGTTAGGGTTTATGAGGTCCTCTTTCTTTTAAAGCAGTTTGACTAATTCTGTAAGCTCTCAGTATCTTTTATCACAGTAACGTTGTTTTCATACTGTTAGATCCTCTTAATTTCTTTCAGAAAACCAAATTTCATCGACCTCAAACACTCGGATGGAAGAACGGATATTCCTTGCCAACAGCCCCTGTTATAGGGATCGGCGGAGATCCAGTACCTGTGAACAAATTGACACAGGAAGAGCTCGACGAACTTGCAAATTTAAAGCCCTCACTGACTTATGGACAAAAAGTTCAAGCACCTCCAGAGGATTTTGTCCCTGCCCATGTAGGATTTGATAAGAAAGTTTTGCTTTTCTTTGGATATTTCAAGCAAACTGTGCACGAGTCTGCCAATGAATATTACAGAGTTCGTCCAGTTAAAGTGTATTATTACCTGGAGGACGATTCTATTGCAGTTGTGGAACCTGTAGTTAATAACAGGTAATGAAAATGGCCCTATAAATTATACTCAAAGTTAACATTTTAGGGAAAATTTTACATTCCAGTTAAAAATATACTGAAAAACAAGTAATGCTTCCACAGACCCAAAAGTTGCAGCTACACCCCATGCCAATCTACGACTGCTAAACTAGACTGTTACATGTAGTTCTGTATCAATGCTGACCCTTTGAGATCACATAAAACTACACCTGACCAACAATTTTATAGCCTGCATCGCAGATGAATTTATCCCCGGATAGTAATGTCTGCAAGGAAGGAACCCAAGATTCATGTTCAGGGCTAGGTTGCATAAAACCCTCTTAAGATAAGTCGAGGGCTCTTAACTTTTGTTCTGGAACAACCTATTGTTTTGAAGTATAGTTACGAATTCCCTTAATCTTAAGATGTTTTTTGTAACCCAGCCCTGGGCCTCAACAGACTTAAAGAATTACGGGAACTTCAACCTCAAAAAAAACTTGAATGGCAGCTGACAATGACTTTTTTAGCAGACTAATCACGGTGCATGCTCAAATTCTGGTATACATGTGGTGGCCCAGAACAAGGATTTGGGCACTATTTTGCAGACAGACTGTCTGTTGCACAGGCAACAATTTTACAGTTTAATTACATGCAGCTCATTGCCCCTGATGAACCACTTCTGAGCCAGTTACAAAAGCCTTATTATTTCCATGTCTAGCCTCGGGAAAACAATAATATTATTGCTATTGCCCACAGGAGAATTGTATGCTCAGTCTAGCATGGTGACTTGTAATGTATAGTAAACAAATGCTTTTTTCTCTCTATGTTTTAGTGGAATTCCTCAAGGAAAACTTATTAAGCGTCAGCGTTTACCAAAGAATGACCTTGGTGAATATTGGCACTGGAAAGACTTAAACCTTGGGATCAATGTGACTTTTTATGGGAAAGTGTTTCATCTTTATGACTGTGATGCTTGGACAAAGGTAACTTGATCTATTTAGTTGTTCGAACTCTAATGTATCAACCATGTACTATAGGCGGTTTTCCGTGAATTACCGGGTGAAAACTTGCTGCTTGAACTTCGAATCTCTTTCGTATACCAGACCTTGATGACTAATGTATATTTTTACAACCCTGTTCGAGCCAAGAAGTAACCAATGATTTATGAAGGGTCTTCAACTTTACCAGTGTAAATTCGTAGATTCAAAGAAGACCCCTCTTTTTGATACCTGTATACTTTCCACAAGCCATTAAGTTTAATTTCTGAGGTACCATTCACCAACAATCTAATAACTTTGAAGGAAGGAAAAGTTTGGGCTTGAAGCAGCTTAGCCTGACATTTTTTCCTAAATTTAAATTGTACGGTTGAACCTCCACCAATGGCCACCTCTTTTAAATACAATGGCTCCCTTTTTTGTCCTGGCGGACAGTGACCATACAATGGTCACTCTTTTTTAAACCTCTCTACCACGGCCACTAACTCATGTCTCCAGCTGCCAAAATAACCTCGACAACAACCAGTTTTTTTAAGCTGACTGATGAAAGTTAGTCAAGAATTGTCACAAAATTTGATCAGTATATGGCTTGTTGATGATTAATTCTGGCAATCGTATTTTGATTGTGTTCCATTTGTAATCTTATGCTACTGCGGTAAGCATAAATTGTCTACGATACTTATGAACCTTGCTCATTTTGTCATGTTAACATTTTTACTCAAAATGTATTACTCAAGTTTTCTATTTTTTGTTTTTTTTTTATCTCTATACATTAAAATAATGATTGATTACTATTATGGTATATAAAGTGTCGTAAGCATGAACTGCATGAGAACAATAAACATGTTGCCTTGCGGCCACTTTCTTCTGTCCCCAAGGTATCCGTGGTTTGTTTGTGTATGTACACTGTAAGCTTTTAGTATTGGTACTCAGGAGATCAGATCTTGATGACTTGCCTGACTTTTTTCTTTAGGAATATTTGGCCAGTGAGGGGATAGAGCTTAACCAGCCGCAGATGCCCGAGAAAGACCCTTACACTGAATCCCGTAAACAGCCTCTCCGCACCTACAAGACACCTTCATCCTTTGACAAACTGAAACAGTTTCTGGAGTTGGACCGGAAGGTTTTAAGATTTTACTGCGTGTGGGATGACAGGGACAGTATGTTTGGAGAAATGCGACCTTGTGTGAGTACAAGCAATTCTTAAGCCCGGTTCTCATAAATTTCTGACTTTACACTATATGTAACTAGTCAGCTGCTTGTTTTGCCTTGGATAAAATTTCAGTAGTGATATAAAAACAGTTTAGGCCCAGTTCAAATGTCAATATTTTCATGTACTGAATGTATACCTATTTAATTTGGTTGACCTGAATGATACAAGTTTGATGTTGATTCAGACGTCGAAGGTAATTAGTCTGACTCAATTCATTTTCACAATGTTCAATGGTCTACATTGTACAATGCTTACTTGTAAATGAAAATAAATTTTAGTAATTTATGCGTTAGGTTTGGCACATAAACGAAGTCGCTCCACAGTCAAAATTCTTATGTGGACCACTCGATCTTAATTTGTGGGTCGGACTTAATTGGTTCAAACATTGAAGGATATTTTCAAGTACTTAATTGAAGGGATTAGGTTCAGTACATAAAAAGGTTGACGTTTGAACTGGGCATTAGGCGAAAACATTGATGCATCCTTTGAAAGACAGAAAAACAATTTTCAGCATTGATAGTGCATGTTTCTTCTGTATTCACCACATTTATCTGTTTGGTTCCAGATTATACATTACTATCTGGTGAACGATACTGTGGAAATTAGAGAGGTGCACACAGCTAATGATGGAAGAGATCCCTTTCCTGTTCTGGTGTGCCGACAGAGACTACCTAAAGACAGAACTAATGTAGAATGTAAGTACATAGTCTGTAACTGTAGCTCAGAGAGCTACATACATCTGTTTTCCTGAGTTTGAATCCAAGCCAGACAGACACTTAGCCTTAGGGTCGGTTATTTAAACAAAGACAGGTTGACCACGGTATAGCAAATCTTTGGACCTTCAGATCTCACTTCATAATGTAAATGAGTTATCTTAAGAAGGTAAATGCTTTTCTAGTCTATGCTATGCTTTCATGAAACTGTTGACGATAAATGGTGTTTACATAAAAGCTTTTGGCAAACTGAAAATGGCTTAGAATGTGGTTTTGTTAAACACTGGCTAAACTCCATTTAAGTAACTGGCCCTTGAAGGTTTAATTAAGAGTAACCGAGGAGAAAGTGCTGCTGACATTTCACATCTGCACATGCCATCAAGCCCTTTGGTCTTCTTTAATAGATCTAGAGAAAAGTGAAAATTAAAACAAAGGCCCCATCTCACAACACTTTAACATCTTTGACTCTTATGGGATGTCTTGAATACCATGTCAGTGTAGTTTACACAATAAGTGCACGTGTCCTAAATCTAAACCTAGATACTTCTTTTGTAGCCAAAATAAAGAAAATTAATTGTTTTGCTGTAAATAACCCATTTTTCTGCCTTATATTTCAGCATCTTTTCCATCCTGTGTTCTGGAATTATCTGATCATGAAATCAAAGACTGGTTCACTCCTCGAGACTTCATGGTTGGAAAGACCCTCTTTATTCTGGGAAGAAGATTCCTTCTTCATGACTGTGATGAATTCACAAAGAACTATTATAGGGTCAACTTTGGAATAACCGACACTAATCCTGTCGATGTGAAAGGAGAACCAAGAGAACCGTTGAATAAGGTATTTTAAATATCTTTTTTTATACAAAAACCTGTCAGTAATTATATTTATTATTAGACTGCTCACTGGCAGTAGAAAAGTTTATTAACAGTTCTAATTCCTTTGATTTTTAAGTTAAAAGCAGAGGTTTAGTAATATTAAGCAAGAAAAAATTAACCCTAAAAAAAATTTTGCCAAAGATTTACATGATAAATCTGGAATGTTACACATGCCAATTAGTTTGGCTCAAATTGAGTCCGATTGGACTTTAAGAGATGATGCTAGTTCTCTAATTGGTAACATTTCATGCACAAAACAATCAAACGTATTAAGGATGAAAAACTGTTTGTCAAGTTCTTTCGCGACAATAGTATTATAGTGTTTAACAATTACTGATCGTTTATTTTGTTAGGATGTTCCACCATACAATGGCTTTGGCTCTCTTGAGGACAGCCTTCAATCCTGCCTGTCTCTTGTGCCTCAGCCTCCAAAGAAAGACTTCATCAAAATGCTGGAAAATGATCACAAAGTACTACGATATGCTGCGACCATGGTAAGTTACAATCATCCAAATCGTTTGTGGATATCTTACTGTGTCACAGTTTGTAAGTTACAGTGAAATACAAAATACCAGTACTTGTATTGGGAAAAACTTGCCTTTAATGACTACCAATAAAAATCATTTGTTTAAATTTTTAAATTGTAATATTCTTTATACTTGAGGTTTTTTAATATCCCGGTCTTAGATGATTCTGTGGTTTGAATATACATTATCCATCCCTCTACAAGTTCCAGTATGTTCTTGAAAACTTAAGAGTCTCATGGCAAGTTACCTGCTGTCAAAAATTATTCGAACTAGTTTAGTATTAATAATATTGTTACTTTTAAAGGAGCTTATGTGAGTTGCTTCTTTTCTTTGTTCAGGAAAGTTTCAGACCAGAAGACAAAAATAGACGCTTCATCATCTATTACCGCCTGGCAGATGACATGCTTACAATCTATGAGCCTCCGGTGAGAAATGCCGGAATCATTGGTGGGAAATTCCTTGAGCGCACACGCGCCACTAAACCAGGATCATCTGTTGATAATCCTGAATTCTACACCCCGGCAGACTTCCAAATTGGTGCCCTCATACAGATCTTCAAACATCGCTTTAGAATAACAGATGCCGATGAGTATGTGTTAAAATATTTGGAATCACATGCTCAGATATATCCAATCACCACTATCAACTCCATTAGAGAAAAGCATGGGAGACCACCAACAACCACAGAGGAGCTGCTAGCAAATGTGCCCCAGGGAGACACTGATCCTAATCTGTGGAAGAGCCAGCCAGATGGGATCAAGACAGAATACCAGAGAAGGTAATCACAAAATAGATAACAGAACATTATAAGAGGGTTGTAGGAGATGACAAGATAAATCCAGTGTATATAAAGGGGAGTGATGGTTACAGAGAATTGGCAGATGCCAATTTCAAGTGCAGGATTAACTTTGTTAAAGCGTACTGTGATAGGAGCTTTATTACTGTCAAAATTTAAAAACTATGAACACCTGGAATATCATGATAAAGATCTTGCAAGCAAGCCACAAATTGCAAGTAACTTGCAGTATAAAAAAATTCCAGAAAGATTGCTGGCATTAACAGTTTTCTGAGTTTCACACAGGGTTCTATCTAGGGTATTTGAGGGATAAAAGCTCCCCCCCCCCAAAAAAAAAAAAATATTGTTATCATTACAGTATATAAGTAACTATATCGGAAAAATCATCCAGATGCGGCGAGGGCAGTGCAGACACTGTAACATTTCTCAAAATTGTGTCTCAGAATGCACCAGACTGCAGTCAGCGCATATTCATTTCAAAAAATTTCCAGGGGGGGCATGCCCTTCGACCCCCCTAGGAAGCTCATGGCCTTCGGGACTTCTCCCCCAAACGGTAAATCCTAAATAGAACCCTGTCACAGTAATGAGTACAGAACTGCCAAAACAGATATATCCAGTGAAATTAAGTTAGCACTTTTCATCCTCATATTATACTCTTCTCCTTATTATGTTCTGTTTAAATCTTTTACAGGTTTTGAGAGGCAAAAGTTGTGTGAAAGGAAGACCAAAGATTGATTTAAAAATAATTAATTTTGTATATTTTATTTGTCTTTTGAACACTTCAAGCAGACAAAGAAACTGCACAATTCTTAAATATTGTATATACAAAACGTTAATAGCTGTAGAAAAAAACATAAATTGCTTTCTGTATTTAACGTTCTATTTCATAGCAGGTCATTCATCATGTACTCTTTTGCCTTATTTTATGACAGCACTAGGAAATTCAAGAGAGAGCTTACTTTAACAAGAAAACTGTAACATTGGAAATATTATAGACAGAAAGAAGAAATAAAAAACCAAGTAATTTTAGTATCTTGTAATTATAGATTCCTTGTGGTTAAGAAAACTTATCCATGACAGATGAACGAATAAAATCACCAAAGGAAGGCACAATTCCGTGAAATAGATGCCTCTGTGTGTATATTTTGCCTTACGCAGTATTTTTATCCAGCTCAAATTTTTGTTGTTGTAAGTTTATCCCAATGATACACCAACTGGCAACTTGCTGTTGTTCCACACAAAATTTGTTCATGATGGTGTACTAGGATAGATCTGATGTTATCTCTGTATAACAAATGACTGTGTACCACTCTCTTTTCCTGCTTGATTTTTTCCAGTCTGTCAATTTCTTGCCACTGTCTTGTGCTTTCCACATGATCCTGATTATTAAATCCACACAATTACAATAATATTATTATTTTTGTTAGGTCAAAAATACATACTCTTGCTTACTCCTAGCTTCTTTTATAAATAAACTGAGGGCACTTTCCACTTCTCAGAACTGGCCAGCCGCATCATAGCCGAACCAGTCATTTTGACTATAAATCGGCTTTTTCCAAGGGTTTTTGCTGAAAACCATCTCCTTCCTACACACTATTTCACAGGATTTGACCGATCTGGCTGGATAGTTTTGATTAATAGTGAAATTGTCATTACGGCGGTAAGGGTTGGGCAGTCATTTCTGACAAATGGAAAGCGCCCTTAGTTCTAAGCTGGAACCTGATGGACTCCATCCAAAGTAGAAGTGTTTTGCAGCATCAATTTATTAGGAAATAACATCACATTTGACAGTAAACCTAAAAAAGCTCGAACCCACTTCGTAAACTGAGATTACTACTAGTTATATTTGTGAAATGTGAAATGCGACATTTGAACCAGACCTAAGATTGCAAGTTGTTTTTAAGGAACAAAGCTTTTCTTTACCTTGTGCATGCATGCTCAGATGCTCAAATGCTCAGATGAGTCATCTATTTAACTTCCTTCTCCCTACACCTTCTGTTGAACATTGCTAACATGTCCATGAGTTTGAGGCTGTTAGTTTTCATGGTCAGGGTGTCTTTGTCATCTGTTAACAAATGAAATAAAAGCTAGAAGAGAAGGCTGTATTTGCAGGCTATTCTGTGGCTATTCTGTGTTTTCACTGTCAATGTCACTGGTAGCCTCCCACGCAGGCGTTTTTAGGGGAGCTCGTTTTTCATCCCTCCCAACGAGCTCCCTTAAAAACGCCTGCGTGGGAGGCTATGTCACTGGCGGTGTTATCAAAAATAAAAATGTAAACCAATCAATACAGAATAATAATAATAATAATAATAATAATAATAATAATAATAATAATAATAATAATAATAATAATAATAATAATAATAATGGAAACTTTATTTGTGTTTTTGAATGTACAATTGTAAATCTCGCTACGTATAGGCAATTTTCAAATGCTGCTTGAGACTGGATTATTAAAAAGAAAAAACAAAACAAAAACAAAAATAAAAACAAAATAAAATAAAAGCAAAGAAAAAAAAAAGAAGGAAATCAAAATTGCATTAAGTCTGGACTATCCCAGTTCCTATTTCTACAACAAAAGATGTAATATGTTGCTCTAATGGGGTATTATAATAATAATAATAATAATAATAATAATAGTCATAATAATTTATGAACTTGTTGTTTGCAATTTAACTTGAGAATGATCACTGCGCATTACAAATGCATTACTTTACAACATACAAACAAAAGATAGTGCATTTAAAAAAATAACAATAAGAAGAATATATATGCATGCAAGTAAGAACTGGATATAAAATTGATCACCAATATACAGTTCTAAAAAGATAAGTCTTAATATGCGCCTTAAAACTGTTCACATTAGTAATCGTAGTAATCTGGAAAGTCCAGAATCTGGGTAGTGAAAGACGATAAATCAGTATACAAAAGCCTGGCCAAGAATCTGGTCTGTGCGATAATTCATATGCGAGATATTCGGAAAAACCTTTTACAAGACAAGGAATGTTTAGATGGCAAATTCTCAAAAAATCGGTAACGTTTTTAACCAACATAAGAGCTTTCCCGGCCGCCAGCTAAATGCTGCTTCACGCAAAAGCCTGGAAATTCAAGCGTCTTCTATCGCAAAACGAAGAACCCTTCGGAACCGAACATCTCTGTGAATAAAGGTTTTTAGGTGCTGTAATACCTTATGAAAGTAGAAACTCAGAAGAATCGATAGTTTCTTAGATTGAATTTTGGTGACGTCATGTGAAAAACCCTAATTGTCGCAGACTCGGCGGTGTATATGAACAATTTTTTTGTATGATGATCCGTATCCATCTTCCGCCCTTACTTGAAAACTTTCGTCCCGCCTTTTTTCCCGACCCGACTGACTGCCCCTGGGTCTCCGAGGATGATCCGTATTGCGCACCTTTTGGAGTTAGTCGAGGGGGGCGAGTTGGGGGCTGCACCCTTTCAATCTTCAGGGAATTTACAATAAATCATGCACTCGTAAACTTTCTAGATGTCAACTGGGTAGATGTCAGTGCCCTTTACTTTTTTTTGCTGAATAATCATTGAGGCGTTTTTACCAAACTTAAGTAAAAATTATGATTTCTACTTTTTCTGCCAAAATAAACAAAATTTACAAAAACTAGCATAATTATTGGCATAATTATAGGAAAATAGATACACTGCTAGTAGCATATTATGCTACTTTTGCGAGCACAATTGCAAGGGGAAGGGTGCAAACATTCACCCTAGTGTGAAATGAATAGAACAAACAGGAAGAATTTACAATATTTTGCAGATTCGGGCTACTTTTTCTTTTTTTTTTCTCTTTCATTCCAGCGACCGCGGAGGGGGAGGGGCTGGTAGGGCCGCGGCCCCACCACTTTTTTGCGCCCCCGCCCCCACTTTTTGCGCTAAAAAGAAAAATAATTAAAATAAAAAAAAGACTTGAAACAAGTTTTTTTCCGTCTATATTCCGCTATATTCTCTGTATTTTCTTTAATTTCAAACGCCAGGCATTTTGTGGGGCTCCTGTGTTTTTCGCGGTAATTGTGCTCTGGGGCCGACTTGCCCCTTGATCAAACGCCATGCCTTGGCCACCCCTACGCTTCTTTGGGCAGCGTGTTTTGTACTTCCAGCTCCGGCAGAGTTTTTTTTATCAGTTTTATCAGACGAAATGAAGAAAATTACTAGCTTTTTCAAGCCAAACGAAGGTGGAAGAATTACATCACTTGAACAGTGAACGGCCATAGTTAGAAATTTTTCAGATCACTTCAGTGTAGTATTTTCTATACTAAAATTGTAATCGCGTCTTTTCTTGCATTGAATCTGAACTGACCGTGTATGTTGGCCGACCTATAAAGAGCAACAAATACACTGGATAAAGTATGCAAAGTCACGCGACAGAAACAAATCAAATACTATGATTTTATTCCTTTTTTCGATTTTCAATATGAAAAAATTATTTTCAATTGTCAGCCCTGCCACTTTTCACCTTGCTCCGCGGTCC